ACTTCTATCATCGAGGGTTTGAGGCATTCTAGTAAGATAACCCCGTCTATACGGTATCGTAATAGCTAGTGTAGCATCCACTTTAAAAATATTAGAAACTAGTGCCAGCTCGTCAGCGGAAAGTCCACCGTAAAATGTAAGATTCGTTCCAAGAGTTCGTCTTTAGCCTTTTTATACACTCCACTCTGTCATTTCTCTAGTAACATCCCGAAATATTGTTCGTAGACTCCATAAAGTATATATATATTCATGATCAGTATAAAATTCTAAGTAGATTTTACGATGTCCGTCTGCCTGTCTGTTGAAATCACGATACAGCCCACATTATTTAACGTAGAGCTTCAAAATTTGGTAGGACAATTTGTATTGTGTCTAGGATGGTTGGTATTGAAAACGGCCCTCGTGTTCGTATAGCCCCATATAACGGTACCTCTCAATATTCGTTATTTTAATAATCCTAGTCATATTTACCCACGAATTTTTTTCAAACTAGTTATTGTTATATAAAGTGGTCTATATAGGTACCCGTTTTGGTATGGCCCCAATATTTTTAATTTTAGCTTCATCTTACTGGTATATGTAGTTTATAGCGGAACACGCTTGAATTCAGATACTTTTATATACAGAAATGTTTTCTTTACTCATTGGTGGACGGTATTAAAAGTTCGGCCCGGTCGCACCTAATGTTTTTTTTACAATATGTTCAGATGAACAAAGGTTTTTTCATCAAAATTTCATGCATTGCCCGAAATTTTCAGACTTTTAAAGTTTTACGCTTTATTTATTTTTTTATACCCTACTCCACAAGGTGGTCAGGGTATTATGTCTTTGTGCATTTGTTTGTAACAGGCAAAAGTAAACGAGATAGACCCATAGTTCCTTTTGATGATCTGCAAAGAATCTCTTTCCGCCGTAATATGCTCTCCTTAAAAACGATATTCAGGGAAATATATCAAATACAGCTCAGAAATATCTATGCCAAATTTTACCGAGATCGGTTCAGATTTGGATATAGATTCCATATATATCTTTATCTGATTTCAAATTAATTTTGCACCAAATGGGCAATACAAGTCCGAATTTAAAAAATACAAATGCTTCAGCATATTTAGTCCTTTGAATTTTAAATTATAATTATAATCATAGGGTGTTGTAACAACCGTGGTCTAGAAAAACGAAATGAAATCGCTATGTTGACCATTAAGTGGCGTTGCCGGTATGCTGGCGTTTAGCGCGGCTATGGCTCGTCGGATTGGGGGTTGGTTCTTGCCACTTGCAGATCTTTTCGGTTGAACAAACAAAAAAAAGCATACCGGACTGCAAACTAAATTAAAAAGGGGGTAAAAAGAAGCCTGAAACATGTCAACAAAAAAATTAAAAAGAAAACGTTCACCTAACTGCAACCAAATCCCAAAATAACATTAGTTTTTTTCCACAGAAACAGTGCTCCTGGCGGCTGACCAGCCAGGAGATAGCCCTCCCTCCGAGAACACCTCTCGCCATGACGTCTACTATACTTGACGTCCCAGATCTGACCCTTGACTTACCACATTTTATATCGTTACCACCACCTTTTAAAAAGGGCTCTAAGCCAAAGACATATTTATCTTTTCTGTATAAAATTGGTACATTTTATTTAAAATACTTTAAATACCCAAATAACAATTCGCAGAAAAAAATTAGATGCTAACTTTAATGTTTGCGTTCAAATTTAACAATGATTTCAATTCAATGAATAAAACAATTTTGCCAAAAATTACAAAAAAAAACTTTTCTTTTTCTTCTTTTAGACTGCGCTTTCTGATGACAAAAATTAGGGTGCAATAAAGGCAGCTTGCAATTGTGGTTCTTCCCAGCAAGTATGTACGTAAGTATTGTTTTAAAGTTTAGCTTTTTTAATTATATTCCACATTAATTTTTTTTATTAATTATATTTCTTTCATTCAATTTCAGGAAAGGCAAACAAAGATGGAGTGTCGATAGCACTTAAAATCGACGAACGGATTAAAAGCCTGGTTACCTAACCTTGAATAGAGCTCTGTTCAACGTCGTGTACCTGCAGACTAACCAAAAGGTGATTAAAATTTGAAATTGACTTAATTTGCTTCCCCTTCTAATTCATATTGTTTCTTTTTTTTTACAGAAAAAACCGCGGAATTTAATTATGATGCTTCGTCGTCCGTCTGTCTGTCCGAGGTTTCGTGTATAAAATGTCGATTGGGAATACCAAGCCACGCTGGGTTAGCAATGGCGCAAAATCAGCGGCTCCCTCGATGGATTGGATGGGCGATGGTGTGGCTTGTAGGCTCCAATTCTCCAGGAATTTCTAGGTTTAAGATTTATTTTCTTGCTTTAGATTTTTAGTTAATTGTTTTGGTTTTTTTCAATTTTGTTAAATTGTTTCCAAACAATAACATCCAATATACTCTGCTCCTTATTATACCCTCTACCTTAAAAAGGAGAATATATTAACTTTGTTATTCCATTTGTAACATCGCATCAGCATAAAATTCTAAGTCGATTTAACGATATCCGGCTGTCTGTCCATCTGTTGAACTCACGATACAGACATTTTTTGACGTAGAGCTTCAAAACAACAAAACACAACAATTTGTATTATGTCTAATATGGTTGTTGTTGTAAATGAGATATATCGGTCATCGTTTTGGTATAGCTATATAATGGTACCTTCCGATATTCTTTATTTTGATGATTTTTAGCCATATTGTCTCAAAAATCGTATATAAAAACAGCACCTCTCTCGAAAATGTTTGCAGGAGCTACTAGCAATATTACAGGAGGAAAGTTTGGAGATGACACCATAATAGACAAACACATTATATAGAATTTTCTTTCTATACCCTCCACCATACTATGGAGAGTACATTAACTTTATCATTCCGTTTGTAACTCCTTGAAATACTTATGTCAGACCAAACTAAGTATTTAAATTCTGGATCAGCGATGTCTAATTCTAAGTTGATGTCGGTCTGATGTAATCAAGCTATATTTAGAACGAATTGTCATAGAAGGCACGCATGTGTATATGTCCCATAGAACGGTTTTCATTTAGGTGGTATTTTTTGGAATTTTTTGAACATTTTCAAGTTCTTTCCAAATGGTGGAGAGTATTAAAAGTGCGACCCCGTCGGACTTAGCTGCTTTATTGATGTTTATCAATATTTTCTTAATATTTGTTATTTTAATATCTAGACGTTTTTACTCCTTTTATGGAAACAGCTGAAAAAATATTAAGAGCTGCTTTAACACCAAAGCACATACATATACATACGCTTCAAGGTATATACAGGGTGAGATGAAAAAATTGCAACAAATTTCAGACTGCTGTCATTTCTAAGCCACTAGTCCGACAGCTGTTAGAATTATTCCAATGAGAGGTCATTAAATTGTTTAAGAGCATACAAAAGCATTTTGGTGAGAATTTTCCAAAAAAAAAAGTTATTCGTGATGGAATTTAAAGGTGATAGTGTGATTTCGTTATATTTGGCTGGAGAACCACAAGTGGCTATTGTTAGATCACTCCAGCATTTAAATGTGAATAAATATTTCGTGTCTCGTACCATCGCTCGTTACCGTGATACTGGCAGCGTAGCCCGACTTCAAGGAAGTGGACGAGAAAAAACAGCAACATCAGCAGAAATGGTTCGAAAAGTAAAGAAGCGACTTGACCGAATCCCGCGTCACAGTGGCCGAAAAATGGCTCGGGAGCTGAACATGACGCTATATTCCATTCGGCAAATATTGAAAAATGAGCTCGGGGTAAAGCCATTGAAATTCCAAAAAGTGCAAGAACTTACACCGCAACAGAAAGAAAATAGACTCAAAAGAGCTAAAGAGTTGGTTTTCTCCGAAGAGAAAACATTCGTTGTCCAGCAGTTTGTAAACAAACAAAATTATCGTGTTTACTTGCCAAATTGCCAAAGAGGTCAGCTAAAAATGTGCACCATCGGTTGGCTACTAGAACTCAAGTGCCGGCCATGGTGATGGTCGCTCCCCGCTCGTATTATTTGACCGTGGTATCAGAATAAATGCCGAATATTGTAGCGAAAATATTCTGGAGGGTGTATTTAAGCATTGGACACACAAACATTTTGGCCGCAGACCTTGGACATTCCAAGAGGACTCAGCACCATCACACTCAGCACGCGCCACCTAAGAATGGTTACAAAATGAGGTTCCTCGCTTCATTTCCAGCGCACAATGGTCACCAAAATCTCCGGATACCAATGCATTGGACTATTGTGTCTGGAGTATTTTGGAAAGCAAGGTTGACACTAAAAAATACCAAAGTGTTGATCAGCTCCAGCAAGCGCTTCGCCGGGAATGGGCCAAAATACCGCAGAGCAACATTCGGGCAGCGTGTGTGTGTTTGAAGGCCATAATTCGTGCCAAAGGTGACCAATTCGAACAAATCTAAACTTATTCTAAAATTTGATGCTATTTCCGACATTTTTTGCTTTCATTCAATAAAATTAAAAAAAAAGTGTAAAAATGGTGGTGTTTGTCTTGAAATGGAACATCTGGCGTCTTTGGAAAATCGGCATAATGCCGTGGGTTGTTGGCACTTTGCATTTTTTTTTTTTTTTTGGAAAGTGTTGTGAACAAAACTGCATTAAATTTTTATTCAAATGGATAACTCCAAAAAACGATTTGTTGCCTCAATTACATGCCATTGGCTCCAAAGTGCAGTAGTTGGTATCAATTGTGAACATCAACTATCAAATTTTAAACACTTCCGTTGAAAATGTGGCTTAAATCTTCAAAATACTGAATACCTTGACATAATAGGCTAAAAATAAGTACTTGTACCAAAATTCTTCCACTTCTGCCAACACCTTCTATTTTTGGCCACTTTTTATATGAACTCGTGTCATAGTGCGTCGTAACTACTTACAAATCAGCCATCTAACCAATCACCTATACGGTGATCCACTTAATAAGCTACTAAAAGTCGGCGACTAATTAGAAAAAAAAACATGTTTTACTTTTAGAATCGTTTGTTTAATTTTATTTTCAGTGAAATTCTGCAATATACTTTTTTAACTTGTCTGCTGCCGGTATGGAACTCGCAATTTTCTAATCTGTCATGTTGTTATGTGTCCTTTAATGTCGTTACGCCGATATCATTTTCTTCCCGTTACCACCATCGTGAACGCGATCGCTTTTCGTGCGGCTTTTGACTTCATGAAATTTTGAAAACGTTGCTGGAGTTCTCCGTTTATTAGCGCTATAAAGTACATCCAAATCAAGGCGAAAATGATGACTGCAATCAGTGGAATAATGGTCAACTTCATGAGGTTGCAACTCAAAACAAAATATATTCAAAAAATGGAAACAGTAAAAATATGTATGATTTATAATTACAAAATCATTAGCAGTCAAGTCGGTGTGTGTCTGTGCTTGCTCTTCAATACTTTTCCTATTTCTGTTTACATTCTAACGTTTATGAACGTTTTATATACATCCGTATGTGCTATGTGCCCATCTAGTTCCAAGGAACGCGCATTGAACCAAGGAAATACCCAACATTAATATTTTTAATTTTCCCAAATTCACTGGAAGGCATTCTGTTCAGCTATTCGAGAAAACCCCATTTTACTAAGTGTAAATGATGTTGTTAAATACGTGGATTTTTGTAGTTTGAATATTCAGGTAGGCTGGAACATGGAAATGAGTAAAAGGCAATAACATTTAGCCTTGAACATCATCTTTAACTACTTTATTTTTTCTGAACTGAATTACAACTCAACAAGGATGAGTGAAAACAATTTTAAAAAGTTTCTGTCGGGGTTCCAAGAGACATACAACCTATGTTTGGTTGCAAAAACGAAGATTGAATCTACAGGACGATATAAAAAACTGCAACAAAATCAATCGCCAAAATTTTTACATTTTTTAACTTTATTTAATGAAAAAAAAAATCGAAAATAGAATTAGAATATGTTTAAATTTGTTCGAATTGGTCACCCTTGGCACCAACTCTTGCCTTCAAACGGCCAATGAAACTGTCACACGCTGTCCGAATGTTGCTCTGCGGTATTTTGGCCCATTCCCGGCGAAGCGCTTGCTTGAGGTGATCGACACATTGGTATTTTTTAGTGCCAACGTTGCTTTCCCCAATACTTCAGACACAATAGTCCAACGGAACCTCATTTTATAGCCATTCTTGGGTGGCGCGTGCTGAGTGCGATGGTGTTGACTCCTGTTGGAATGTCCAAGGTCTGCGGCCAAACTGTTTAATACACCCTCCAGAATGTTTTAGCGATAATATTAGGCATTCATTCTGATGCCACGGCCGATTAATACGAGCGGACAGCGACCATAGGCTGTTATGGCGGCCCACACAATCACCATGGCCGTCGCTTGAGTTCTGATGGCCAACCGAAGGTGTACATTTTCAGCTGACCTCTTTGGCAAGTAAACACGATCATTTTGTTTGTTTACAAACTGCTGGACAACGAATGTTTTCTCTTCGGAGAAAACCAAATTCGCCAGTTCACCACTTTCGGCCAATCGAAGCTACTCTATTTTCTAGTCTATTTTCTTTCTGTTGCGGTATAAGTTCTAGTAAACATATCTAAATTAGATGGCAATTCTTCAAAATCATCTTTTCGACCAATTAAAATATACTCGGCCAAATTATACTAGGTTTTAGTGTAGGTAAAAAATGTAACACTAGTACAATATAACCATGGTAGAATCAAGAAGGTAAAGTCATGCAATCATATGTTTGCAATTTTTTCAAAATTATTCATTTGACAGCATTTCATTGTCAAAATTGATGTTTCTGAATTCATTGTACATACACAAATCAGAGATGGGAACCTATTTTTTAGGCAGTGCAATTTGACAAGACAAATTACAGAAAATGCAGAGATGGGTAAGCTTATGTGAAATGACTTTACCTTTTTAATTTTACTATGAATATAACTTTATATTACAGGTTCCGGGACACTACTAATATATACCCTCCATATCTTCAACAAACAAATAAAGTACACCAAATTTTCAAAATTAAAAAAAATGCCAAATTTAGCGTTTCCCAATTGCATACATTCACATTTTTTTCTATTTTATTTCCAACATGCAAAAAACAACAAGTAAAAAAACAGTAAGTACGGTCGGGCCGAACTTTAAATACGCTCCACCATATGGAACGAATTTGGAAACTTTTCAAAAATTAAAGCCATTACAGTATTCAAATACGAAACTTGAAAAAATCCGGTGATTAATGTAGCTAAAATCGTCAAAATACCGAATACAGGAAGGTACTGATAAATGGGGTCTATACGAAGACCTCGACCTGCAAAGATAATTTTCTGTCATAAACTGAAGTTCCTCTACACTCCGGTGAATAATGTCGCTAAAGTCATCAAAATACCGAACATTGCGATGTACCGTTATATGGAGGCTGTACGAAGACGTGGGCTTGCATACGCAACGTTTTTCATAGGCTGTAGTACCAATTACGAATTCTAAATATGAAATTTGAAACAACTCCGGTGAATAATGCCCCTAAAATCGTCAAAAAAAAAACCTTTGTATGTGTGCTATACGAAACCGTGGACCTATTTAGAAATTTCCATTGGAAAATGTAGCTAAATTCGTCAAAATTCCGAATATAGGGAGGTACCGTTATATGGGGGATGCACGATATCGGGGACCTATGTAGACAATTCTCTTCCAGGGGGTAAAGTACTCAGGTTTGGAATTTCGGACAATTCCTTTGAAAAATACGGCTACAATCATGAAAATACCGAATATCGGGAGGTACCGTTATATGGCGGATATCGTGGACCGATATAGCCCATCTTGGAACTTGATCTGCCTGCGAACAAAAGACTGATCCGTGCAAAATGTTAATTTCCTATCTTTATTCGTTTTGACTCTAGCGTGATTACAACATACCTATGGACGGACAGGAATTTTACTCTGATTAATACTATGTATACTTTGTTAGGTCTAAAATTATTATTTCGACGAGTTACAAACGAAATAACGAAATTAATATACCCTTCATACCCCTCCATTCTATCCATGTTGAACTTTTAAAAAGTGTGTACGATCGACGTACTTCAGTAACATTCACATAAATACATATATTCACATTCAGTGCTAAAACAAGTAAAAAAGAAGGTAAGTTCGGCCGGGCCGAACTTTTAATACCCTCCGCCATGTCGAAGGAAATTGAAAAATTTCAAAAAGAAAAATTCCGAAAACTACCACTTAAATGAAAACCGTTTTATGGAGACGTGGACATGTATACGAAATGTTTTGTCATAGGCTGTAGTGCCCATTACGAACTTCAAATACTAATTTGTTACAATTTGTTACAATTACGGTTAATAATGTCGCAAAAATCATGAAAATACGGAGTATCGGGAGGTACCGAAGACGTGGACCCGCACAGACATTTTTCTGTTTTAGGGTGTAGTACCCATTCGGATCTTCCAGTACGAAATTTGAAACGATTCCGGTGAACGGTGTTGCTAAAATCCTCAAAATACCGACTATCCGGAGGTACCGTTATATGGGGGCTATACGAAGACGTGGACAGACATGGCCCGTTTACGAACTTAACCTGCCTACTAGTAAACTATTCATGTATGCAAAATTTTAGCCTTCTATCTCAATTCGTTCGAAAGATAGCGTGATTACAACAGACAGACAGACGCTAGCTAAGGGTGTAAAGCTGTGGGTATAAACATTTTAGAGTCATGCAAGGTACAATGATAAAAGGTAGAAGGAGGTAGCCCTATTATGTCAAAACATATTGCCAGCTTGCATAGAACAGAACTCGAACCAAACTTGAAATAAAAATATTGGCCCTTTGTGGTGAACGTAGTAGCAAAATAGGTGTACGTTTTTTATTTAGAACATTACAAAAATCCATAAAATGTAGTGTAATATTCAGCGCGGACAAAACCTCCTATTTTATTCAGCATTTTGTTACATTTTCATCGGTAGACTACTGTTCATCTAATTTCGGTAGAAATTTATAATTCCTTCATTTGGAAAAACGGGGGTTTGGATTATCCAATATGCCAGCAAAAAATCTTATTACCAAATAATGGTTAAGCACATATCAGCGCCAGTAAGTACTTACAAAACCGCTTTATTACCTCTTATTTTATCATTGGCTTGTCACAGGAAGTAAGTTACCAAACAGTCACCGAATTGCAAAACAATTGCTTAAAAATTCGCTCTAGGAATAGAGAAAACTAGATTTGAATTTGGGTTTGTCTGATGGAAGGGTTGAACTGACGATAGTCCGATTGCTAATCGTTCAAACCATATCCTCAGAAGCTGTTAGGAACATTAATTGTTTTTAATGACGTGGTGATTTGAACTAGCGCTATGCAGACCATAATCATTACTTGCTATAATAGAGACAAGTTATTTTGTTTTGTAAAATTTTAAAAATGACATTATTTTTTAGCTTGTTGGTAATGCAAAAGGTATGTAGTAAGTTGAGATGCTAGTAATGAAGAGGATATAGCAGTAGTTATAAGTAGCGTATAATTAAGAAATACAATTTGTGTTTTTTTCTTTTCCACAAGATTCAATCAAAAACTACTTCTATTCTATCTTCTTCTTTCTTCTATATCTATAAAAGAGGAAAATGTTTGTATGTTTGTTTGTTTGTTTGTAATTTATGGACTCGAAATCCCCTGCACTGATTTTCCTGAAAATTTCCAAGTATACTACAACATCGCCTGAAAGTAACATAGACTATAAAATTGTTTGAAATTCCACTTGGAAGTGGAGATATAGCATCAGAATAGGAGGAACCTCCCAAAAATTTAGATTTTATATAGGGTAAGTATACCAGTAGTCGGCACTTATAGGATTTTCGCGTTTTTAATCGCTCACCATTCTGAGTGGAACATTTCAATTATTACAAAGTTAATTTATTCAGATTCGAAATTTTTGTATAGTTTTTGCAATAATAAATAAAGTTTTAATAACTTTTTATTAGATTTCATAAATTTGTAGTTTTATTAAAACAATGCTTTTTTGCCAGTAGTCGGCACCACTTGCCGATTGTCGGTATGGCATGTTCCCACAGTCGGCATACCATTTTTTTTTGTAAGAATAATTAATAATAATAATAAATTAATTCATTAAAATATAATATTTTTGCTTAGGTAAACTGATTCGACGTCTTTATTGTACTTTTCTTAAGAATATGAATTGTTGAGGATCTTCTCAGACAAAAATTTAATTTTTATTAGACTAATTCATCTTTTCTTAGCAAAATTGTGCACAAAGATAGCTGGCAATATATTTGAAGTAAACAAAATACATTTAGTTATAATAGTTTCATTTATTTGGGCTTAAAAATAAAAAGTGCCGACTACTGGGACATGCCGAATTTAGGCACAATTACCCTACACATATCTATTGATCGATTATAGATACGGTCTCCAAATTTAGAATGCGTAATGGAATTTGGAACAAAAATAAATTTGCCAAATTATATTGAATTCGGTTCAGATTTGGATATGC